TGCTGTGATGTCTGGAGCTCTGGGATGTCCTCACAGTCTGATTTCTAAATGATGAACAATGACAAGCGGTCAGCTGTTTGTACAAATCTCAATCTGGGTTCATCTGGAGCTCCTGGAACTCGGCTAGAAAAGCTGAAGCATTGAAACATTTAGGAGACGCTCCATGTTTCTTTGGTCTCCATTCTAGAAGCTTAAAAATATACGTTCAGATAAAGAGATCTCAGAGGAAATATACAGATTTTTACTCCAATTAATATGCCTTAGAGTACAGTTCTGTGAACTCAAATATTTCTCTAGAAGAGATTAAAAAACATTTTCCAAAGAATAGATTTAGCCTTTAAAGAAAGTCTGATGTCACATTAGAAGAATTAGACAGAGTCACAAAAAACTGCTACTGGGAAAGCATCGAGACGGTTTAACTTCAGTATTTCACAAATACTTTGGGGAAGAACTAAAACATTTCCTTTATGAACCAATGAATAACATTATTGACCAATTCATTAACATTTACAGTGAAACAGGGAGTCATTACTTTCATTCCAAAACCAGGAAATGATCAAAGATGCATTGAAAATCTTCATCCAGTCACTTTAATAAATGCTGATAAGAACATATTTACACGTGATTGCAGGAAGATTAAAATATTGTTTATTTCATATAATAAGCAATACACCATCTTTTCTTCTTATAGAGAGATCTATTCCTAATAATGTGACACTGCTTTTAGATTTGCTGAATAATGAGCCTCTGGTGGAGGATGATGGGGCCGTTCACTCTTTGGACTTTTAGAAAGCATTCAATGTGGTTAAGCTCCCATGATTATAGAAGCATTGGAGTGTTTTGGCTTTGGGGAAAGATTTATAAAAAAAAAACAATACGTTGCTTTACACAGACATCCATAGTTCAGCATCTCTGCCTTCTGGAACAGCTAAAAGTTTTACCATTCAAAGAGGAATACGCCAAGGCTGTCCTTCTTCTCCTCTGTGGTTTATTATTGTGGCAGAACTTTTCTCTATGGTTTTAAAAATTATGGGACCCCCCTGGTAATTCCTCAGCTAGCAGATGACAAAGGCATGTTTTTAGATTCAAAGTTTTCTAAAGCTTCTGGCCAACATCTGAATATACGGAAATGTGAAATGATGACTATACATGATAGTCCACTTAATGCTGTTTGTTATATTTCAATCCAAAAAGAGCTGAAATATTTAGGCATCAATATTTCCAAGGATAATGAATTAAGAGAAGTATCACACATAGAAAGAAACATTCAGAAAACTTCCATCATTTTCAACAGTTGGCTCCAGAGAGATTAATCTATTTTTGGACATATTTGACTCACTAAAATGGAAGGTGTCTCTGGGCTTATTTATATCTGATAAAGTGATAAAGAGGAGAAATCAAGAAAATTTTAATTTGATTTGGAGAAACAGATGCCATTACATTAGAAGATCTGATGCAGTGAAATCTTTGGACGTCTGAATTTAATGGATTTTGGTCCAATGAACGGCGCTGTCAGAGTCAAATGGCTACAGAGCTTCATTAGAAAAGGATGAGTCTGCTAGCATTTTTTAAACAGGCTGTGAAGAAATCTCCCATCAGCAGCCTGAATGATTACCGCCTGGTGGCCCTCACTCTGCTAAACATGAAGTGCTTTGAGAGACTGGTTCTTCAGCAAATCAAGGACTATCTCCCCCCAGACCTGGACCCCCACCAGTTCACATAGCAGGTGAACAGATCCACAGAGGATGCCATCGCCGTAGCTCTCCACTTTGCACAGAACCACCTGGAGCAGCAGCAGAGCTATGTCTGGATGCTCTTTGAGGATTATTAAAGCTCTGCCTTCAACACAATAATCTTGATCAGACTGAGATGCTGGAGCAGAAGAAACTGTATGATATTTGAACTTCAGAAAGAAGGAAATCAGAAAGATCTGATTGAAACTCCTGAAGAAAAGCTTCATCCTCTGATTGAAGAAACCATCATTTCCTCACTGAGCAGTTTGCAGCAACAGATCAGAGGAGCAGAGCTGCCCAAACATCTGCAGGAAACATCTGGAATAGAATCAAAAACATCCAAAAAGTGCATCACAATGAAGCAAACATGCAGCCTGAAAACTTTAGAATTGAGCTTTATTTCAGATTTCTGGGTTACAGGCTGAAAATGAATCAGAGAGATAAAAGATCAACTTTACAGTTTGATCAGATTCAGATCAAACCTCCATGGAGCCACTAAATGGAGCTTAGTTTGAATTTCATCTCCATTGTTCCAAAGAGAAAAACAATATCAGACACTAAATGACATACAGGATCAAATAAAGAGGAGAAAAATCTCTAAACTCAGAGTTCATCATCAGGATCCAGTCAGAGTCTCTTTAAACTCAAACTGCTGCATCAGTTTGAGTTTAAAGAGAC